GTGCTTGGTCCCGGGGGAAGCCTTTGTTGACCACTCCTGTAAACCTTGTTTCACAAGGCATAAGGGAGCGGTCGACAAAGGCTTCCCTTGTCGACCGATCCGTGTCTTGACTCGCACGCTGTGCCGATGATCAGCTGAGCTGGCACAGCGTGGTGGCCATTTTTATTTTAATGAAGCCGGGGATATTTAAATCCCGGCTTCATTGACTATGTCGGGTAGCCTATTTTACATGCCTCTGTTGGTAGAGGCATGTAATCTAGACATACCCAAAGTGATCAATAACACCACTTAGCTCCTTCATCAGGAGATCTCAAAGCACTGTACAAAGCAGGGCAGTATCATGAAACCTGTTACAGCTTGGAGAAATCAGTCACAAAGAGATGATGGGCCTGCCCAGGAGTCACACAGCAGTGGCAGGGCCAGATCTACCCTATAAACCTACCTAGGTGGCAGTCAAGGGCTCATGGATGTGACAGAGCCACACAACTAAGTGATGTAGTCACACTGACATAACCCCTTGTGCAGACAGCGCTTACAATGAAGGGAGAAGCTCAAAGTAGCATCTTCACTAAAGCAGCAGTGTTGCAGCCGCACTGGTGCCATGCAGCATTTAGGTGTAGACCTGCCCCCATGTCTTAGGGCAGTGTTGTATCCATTAGACACAAATGGATCACCGACAGGAATAGTGGTTTTAATGGTGAAGCATTACAAATAAAAATATTGCTGCTGAATAAGCAAAAACAGAAGAAAATCTATTTTTGAACAGAAAAATAGTCTTGCAAATGAGGTCTCTTAGCTCAGGATAAGAAAGAAGTAGATGAGGTTCAAGTAACAGTGTGTAATAGCAGCTATCCTTGGTGTTAAGTTTAAACCAGACATCCTTAAAGGTACCTTTAAAAAATGGAGGTAGGAGGGTAGAGAAAACATTTTTCCTACAAGTACAGTTGCCAGATATAATGAAAACATCAAAACACGTGAAGCACTTTAAAGAAAAAAGGCTACCTGAATTCTGCAAGCCAATTTCTCTCATTTCACCATTTCTCTGCCTCCACATTTCTCTCCCTCTTGAAATTCCCCAGCTTTAAAAAGTCACCAGCAGAGATTCATGAATGCATCTTGCTTCAGTGGCTATAATACTGCCTTTTTGATTGATTTATTTTGCCATTTCTTACTTTTAAATAATGATGATCCTTGAACCTAAAATTGCATTTGCTTTCCCCTCTGAACTCATATAAAGCCTACTTTCCGGTAACACTTATAGGCTGGGGTTTTCAAACGGGCATAAAGGAATTAGGCACTTAAATTCCATTGAAATCCATTAGGAGCCGGAAGCCTTAAATCTCAACCTTACATTTTAAAATGCATTCATAGGGTCATCACAGCCTCTTCTTTTCCAGTGAAATATATCCCACTGCTCAGTCCTCCTTTAGGATATAGAGGAAATAGCTGGTAATCAATCCGGACTTTCCTAAGGCAGGAGAACCTGTACTGAGTATGGTACTAAGGCTAAGTTATTAGTGCCTTTATACACCGGGCTTGCAGGAAATGCACTTCCTTGGAAGATTTTTAAGCTGTGGAGTTTTTAGTTATTCTTTTGGCAAAAAGAAACAGAACATTTCCTGTCCCTTTAGTCTTGCAAATCTAGAGGTAAATGGAGATATGAAAACTATGTCACACAGGCTTGTATCTGCAACACCACAAAAATATCCAGGGGAATAGACACTGGGCAACAAAGTTATGAACCACCAACCAATCATAAACCTTATTTGGGACCAGAAGTACACAATCAGGCAGCAGCAGAACAAAAATAGACAAACAAAAGCAAATATAGTGCAGTTCTGTGTTAAACACAACCTATTCAAAAATATGTTCAGCTGCCTCTCCTCTCCCCTTGCTCTGACCTGCAGCCAAGCTAGCTGTGCAGAGTGGGGGTGGAAGAGAGAGGGGAGTGCTGAAGTCAGGGTGTCCTCCTGCCCCTGTACCTCTCGGGAGGGAGACATACAGTCAGCAGAGCTGCTGTAGTCTGAAGCATGTGACTCAGAGGAGTGCAGAGCAGGGTAGGAAATGACAACAGAACAGGACAGATTTCCCTTGAAGAGACAGTGCATGGCTTCATTAGAAACTTACCCAGCAGCAGCCAGCACACACACTCGCTGTGTCACTGTCACATACACCCAGTCTGTGGCACACTGCCTCTGTGCTGCACACAATCACTGTCACATGCACACTGCCACACAAACTCTCTTGTCTCTGCAAAAGTGACGAGGAGTTCTGTGGCACCTTATAGACTAACAGATTTATAGAAGCATAATCTTTCACGGGCAAAGACCCACTTCGTCAGATGCAAGTAGATCTTGCCCACAAAAGATTATGCTCCTATAAATTGTTAGTCTATAATGTGCTACAGGACTCCTCGTCGCTTTTGCAGATTCAGACTAACTCGGCTACCCCTCCGATGCTCTCTTGTCTCTGTGACACACACATTCAAACTGTGTCACAAAATTTGTCTCACACACACAAAGTGTTTCTCTTTCACACACACACACACACACACACACACACACACACGTTCTCTCTTTCTCTCTCTCTATAGCCCCCGACCCACCCCTCCTGCCCAAAGCCCCACCCTTTCATAGCTGGCCTGCGACCACACACCAGTATTTTTTAAGTGGCTCCCCTGCAAAAATTGTTACCCACCTCTGTCCTATGGATTTCCAGTAAGATATGCATTGTGGAACATGCAGTAAGGTGGTCTGAAAAGTAACTGTTTTCTGCGCTCTTGAAAAAAGACAGGCTTCATACTCATTCAGAGATACCGCTTGGCAAAGCAGGGATGACACAAGCTTTGTCATCTAACCCTGGATCCTTATACATGTGAATGCACCTGTTATTGTTTAAATGACCATTTCAGGACATTGGCTCCTTGTACAAATCCCTCAGACTTTCTGAAAATCAGACTCTTTTAAGGTACAGTATCTCAAAAACAGGTCTGTGAAAATTAGAGAGCAGTGTCTGAAAATCTGGATGGATAAACACAAATGTTATTGCTGAGCCAGACAGACTTCAGTCAACCCCTTATCCTTTCTATTTCAAGGAATTATCAACTTTTTTTCAAAATCTGACTGTAGATGTATATCTTTACTCCTTTGTCCAGTAGAGAAATTCAGGAAGATTAATTTTTATTAGTAAAAACAAACAGACACATGAAAAACTGCAACATTTTGCAAACGTTGAGCAACTATCATCTCTGCTTTTTCAGACAAAATTGGTTATTCACCAAACAGTGCAGATTCAGGTGGAATGAAACTATTTCCAAATTTGACCTGCTTGATTCTGATGGGAAAAGCTTTTCCCAGGCCAGCAAACCCTTTATCACTTTGTGATGTTCTATGTGCTTGATTTAGAAGAGGAATTTGCATCCGCATCTCCTACCTCCCAGGCAAGTATCTTAATATCATCTGGTTATAAGAATCATCTATAATATCATCATCTCTTTGGCCTATTGAATATTTAAATATGTAGAAAATGTGGAAGAACTCCATCAGTAGACATTGAGAGATGGCCACCCAAAGTAACCCATAGCATGGCGATTAAGTTGCTTATCAGGAAGAGGGGAGATCTGAGTTCAGATTCCTCCTGCAGAGTGGAGATTCAGACCTGCACTTCCACAGATTAAGCATGTGTTTTGCCACAAGGTTGTAAAGGAGGCATACTCACATCCAACACGCTTTTCCTATTTGCTGACAAATTCCAAGCACTATTTTGGGAACTGAACCAAGTATTTTTTCTGATGTTTGGTTTGATGTCAAAACTGAAAAAAATAATTGGCCAGATCTGCTCTGCATAGTATAAGAATAATGTGAATTATTTAAAAGTAATACTTTAATGGCAGCCACTATATGCACCATTCTCAGCTTCCATTCCAATCAAAACCAAAGAAAATCAACTGTTCCTATTCATATTCTAACCTTAATTTACAGTCCTCCATCTGCATGAACATTTCCTACTAAGATTTCTCATCTCATGACAGCATATATTAATGATCATTTTTACCAGTCCTATCTTCCATCTCATTCCAAACTGTCTGCTCCACTAGCCAGTTTTGATATGTCATCCCTGTCTTCAAATATAATATCCTCAGCCTCTCACATTACTATGCCTACTCCAGTTTTCCAGCTTCTTACAGAGACAGTACTGTCAAAAGGCTTTATATGATCTGGTAATTTAATATTTAATTTAGTTTCCTGATTAGGACAAGTCTCAGTTATGCCAATTATATTATAATTCACCTGAAAGTCTTCACTATTATGCTAGCTTTATGGAGTATATAAAGATATACTGCACATATGAGAGAAATTTGCAGTCCTCCCTTCTGATGGTATAAAAGTGTTATCTTTCAAGGTTTAAGTATATGAGAAATTAGAAAACATTATTTCTGTATTAAGTGACTTTTGTACTGTGAGCAAAAGCACTTCTTCCATTCTTTTTAAATCATAGCACTTTTCCCCAGATAAGCAGGATCTCTCTCTTTTTCAGGGGAAAAAAAAAAAGAAACTTTACCCTTCTCACATCTTTGCCAAATGTTTCACTGTAGCTGGTGCCCAGTATTTCAAATTGGACATAGGGGTTGGAGCCGTCTTCTCTAAATTCCATAACACCAGTGAGTCCAGTTATATGGCCCTAAGGAAACAATGTTAAATATATTAAAATACAATTTTTATAAAGCACCTTTCACACTCCAGGTATCCTAACATGACTTGCAAATGCTTGCAATTAAATTAATGTGGCAGCCCTGATATGCTCTGCAATAGCTCACACATAGCTTTAGACAAAAGAAAATACCTTACTGCAAAAGAGAATGTGAGCCAACACATGTCTATTGCTTATTTTGAAAAATGCCTTGGGAACTTGCATAAAGAAAGCCACTAGCAAAAAGCAGACAGAACCTTACCTGAATCTGAAATGATAACACATTTAATATGATTCAATTTACCTCAATTCTGGTGAGAAACATGAAGCCACCATTTTCTGGCCCAGAAAAAAATAGTAGCAAGTCATGTGCTACTGAGTCAGTCTGACTACAATGTATTTTAGTGTTATTAAAACCCATGTGAACAAAGCTCACACCAGCTTCACAGTGGCGTAACTAAAAAATTATTTAACCTTATTTTAAATGGTTAATGAAGCAGTGTTGTCATTGGAGTTGGTTAGAACATTTTCACCAAAATAAAATGTCAAACATATACTGTTTCGTTGAAACTTTGGTTTCAATGAACATTTTTCTAGAAAAGTGTATGTATCCAGGGAACAGTGACAGAGTGGGCATATGAACTATACTCGGCAGTACTTCAGATTTACAGTAATGTAAATCAATCAAAATTGGAGATTATACTTTGCAGCATTTTTTCCTCTTGTTTCCTCAAAGACAACCATGTGAGCATGTTTACTAAGGAATATAAACATTATTTATGGTCTAGTCTGACAACTACTTCAGGTTTCATCTATTTGGTAAAATGCATAAAGCTACATGACTATTCATCACCATGTGACTTACACAAAACACTGCCATGACATCACCAATTGAAGGAAATACACCTTCATGACCATGCCGTTTCATTCATAATAACTTAAAATCAAGGTTAAGTCATTTTTAAGAAGTTCACCTGAAAGATCAATTGCAGCATGTTGGTTCTTTTAAGGGTTTTATTGCACACTGAACTTACAATCTTCACTTTCTTACCTTCTTAATAGTCTCCAACATGGATCGACCTCCATTCCAAGGTTTGGTGGATTTCCTCATGCAATTCAAGCTTGCCATGCTGTGCCATTTCCTGTCCTCCAGCTTTCTATGGAAGGCATTGGCCAACATGAGCACACTGTCATATAGATAGAGGTTAGAAACCTGCAAACAATGAAAAGAGTAAAACTGTTTGTACTCTTGAAGATCGCCTAAAAAGGAAATTTAACAAATAAAAACAAAGGTGGACTAGTAAAGCTGAACATGAAAAATTTTGCTTAAAGTTCACCAGTTTAAATACACAAAGCTAGCAGTCTTTATAGTTTTATAAATAGAAGAGGGCACTCACTGGTACCTCACCAGTCATCTTAGCAGAGAGACCAAGGAGTGAATGGAATTACCCTTCCAAACTCTATGCTTACACAGGAGAGCACAAGGTACTGCTAATCAGCATGCCAGGCACAAATGGAGTAGCTAAAGCAGCATTACTATGACTCCAATCATTTCTCCCTCACATAACCCTGAGAGTGGTGATGGGTAACTCTTCCTCTGCCTCTTTCCTGAAAAGGAACCTCACAGAGTCCTTAATATCCCTTCTTTTTATATGAGAATATTTCAAGAGACAGTAAGATAGAGAGGTTCCATTACCAATGGAGTGCATCATTCTCTACCAATACAACCACTACCACAAGTAAGATGTCAAACTGACAAAAAGCCATACAGCATTTGCCTTCTTGATGTACAGCAGCTGGCTCAAACTCAACCCAGGCAAGACTGATGTAATATAGGTTGAAAAAATAAATATACATTGCACCATCTCTTCCACTGCAAGTATACACCTGCCATTTGTCAAAATCGTGCAAACCCTTGGGGATTCTGTTTGATTCTTCACTGAGCTGGGATAACTAGGAAACATCAGTGATAAAGTGTCTTTTCCCTGCAGCTCCCTAAGAAATGAAACCTGTTTCTGCTGGAAAAAGCCTGAGCCACAAGATCTTCTGATTTCATTTCTGTAATTCATGGTATCTGAAGGTGAATATGGAAACAGAGAAATGCATGCCAGGTAGCTACCACTTCCTCCAAAGTGCATGTAACAATGAGCACACAAGGACTGTGTCTACATTGGCACCCCTTTCCGGAAAAGGGATGCTAATGAGACCAGTCGGAATTGCAAATGCCGTGGGGGATTTAAATATCCCCCATGGCATTTGCCTGAACATGGCTGCTGCTTTTTTCCGGCTCAGGGTTTTGCCAGAGAAAAGCGCCAGTCTAGACGGGATCTTGTGGAAAATAAGCCCTTTTCCGGAAGATCCCTTATTCCTACTTGAAAAGGAATTCCTTAAAAGTAGGAATAAGGGATCTTGAGGAAAAAGGACTTATTTTCCGCAAGATCCCATCTAGACTGGCGCTTTTCTCCGGCAAAAAAGCGGCAGCTGGAAAAAAAAAGGCCTGTGATTTGGTGGATTCAATTTAATACAGGCAGTCCCTGGGTTACGTGGATCCGACTTACGTCAGATCCCTACTTAAGAACGGGGCGAGGGAACCCCGAACTAGCTGCGCCCCCACCCCAGCAGACCACCGAGACGTGCCGCGGCGGTCCCGCCACCCCCGTCCTCCGTGGCAAGAAAAGCCTGGTCTGCTGGGGGGGGGGGGGGGCGGGGGCGGCGCGGC